AAGTATCTATTAGTTTCGAGTATTATCAATCGGAGAGAGCAAAATAATTACTAATTTGTCAAAATCGTTTTTGAGACCGTAAATGACCGAGCGTTGGATGGCTTCATACAAAATCTTATGACTGTGATCGAATTGTAAATTCGCTCTGGAATTCCTAACTTATCATTTCATCCATCCCATCAACTATTTTATCTGTTAGCTATTTATTTATTCATAAACTATATACTTGGTCATAAATGTGAAGAATGCCTTTCGCCATTTACCATAGTCGACATAACTGATAGCTATAGGTACTAGAAATGAGGAAAATTGGAACTGACAGTTGTAATCATGGCCTACTTCCATATTCAAGTATATTATTATTATCATAATTTCAAGTAGCAGTAGTGATTGATACTATTGATTTTTTTTGTCATGATTATCTCTTTCTCGATCTTTGTATAGTATAGATACCTATAGTTGAGATCTCGGTTGAGATATTTCAATGCAAGATAAGTAATGAATGAACTAGTTACTCTTTGATTAAATACATATCAATGGCTGCTTCAAATCAGGAAACCATGAAGGTTCTTGTAGGCAGTTTTCTATATCTAGAAATAGAGATAATTGGAATTGACAGCTGAAATCCTGATTTGATGATGATAATGCCTATATAGAATCATCCAAGATTCACTTCCAGATAATGCTGCTGTGTGGGTTAACGAACTAATTTATACAAGATAAATCAACTGTTCGACAAAAAACGCTATTTTAGGATGATGTGAGTCATTTTGTCATCGGTGAGAAAGGGTGCACCTGGAACAAATCGCCAGGAATGAGACAGGCAAAAGAGTTTATTAAAAAACCATCGCCAACATTCACAGAATATCTACTAAGCCAGAAACGAAGTTCAACTAGAATACTAGTGGGACTTCTCACAGGGCATTGTAGGCTCAACAAACACATGAGTACGATAGGTCTGACTGAAGAACTGCTGTGCAGGTTCTGTCAGGAAGAGGAGGAAACAGCAGTACACATACTTTGCCACTGTGAGGGCTTGTCAAGACTAAGGTTCCTTACGCTGGGTGAGGAAAAACCAGAAGCCCAGAGATACACAGGGGATCTGAAAGCTAGCCTATGGAGTCTCATAGAGAAGACGGGGCTAGCCGAAGAACTCTAATCGATTTTGAGGGCAGACACAATAGATCTGAAAAGGTCGCGGTGTGGAGGCAGATAGCCCGAAGGCCCCATTCTAAATCTAATCTAATCTAAGGGTGCACCTTTTTTATCAAATTATGTAATACCACGTGATACTATTTTGCCGGAAATATTTGGCAATATTGACGAAAGCTTGTTGCCTAATAATTTCACTGAATGACATTGTTTATCAAAACTTTCGAGCCAATGTCATGAGCGAAATGAAAGAAGCAAACTGGAGTATGTCAATCGAAGAATTTCCAGGAAAAATAGTCTATATCGGTATGAGCAAGGGTATGAGTTCTCGGTATGAGTATTCCATGATTGAGATAATGAACGAGCAGCTTGCGAGAGTTGCGCACACTGGATCCATCATTCTGGCTTCCAACATAATTGATGTTTTAAACGTCCAAAATTTCATCGCTGAAAACCGAAGAACGTTGGTCACGTGTGGGTCAACTCGGATAACATTTAGTAAACGAAATAATATCGATGTAATACAGAAGAAACCGTGAAAATGGCATATTCTGATTGATTCTGGAGATCAAGAGTGGAATAGTCGCTGTAAAACTGCCTGTTGTTCCTTGAAACCATACACGGAAAAAAAGGAATTGTTGAATCAAGCAAAATTTAATTGAATGGAGCAAATAAAAGTGTCATATATGCACGACAAAATATAATCTTGAAATGAGTAAATCTATATCTTCTTTCAGAGCGAATTTGAAGTTTGAATCAAGTAAATATGTCTTGCATGAACTCTGGATCTTCTTTAATCAAGCACATCCATGAATTGTTTATGAAGAGATATTGAATTGACTCAAACAAACATTTTGTTCGATTCAAAATAACAAGATATCGATTCAATCAAATAGTTAGTTGATTCAACGAAATAGTTGGTTGATTCAAAGTAATATTTGGTTGATTCAATGGAATATTTGGTCTCGTATTTGGTTGATTCAATCCGAGATTCAATCCATTCGACAAATTGTTTTGTTGAACCAAATTCAATATCCAGGAATTTTCTGAAATTTCACATCAATAGAATAAACAAAACTAGGAAATTAGTCGACTCCTAGCATAGATCTTTAGTCTTTACTTCTCTTAAGCTCGACTTATCCAGCTGATATTTCAAACACGAAGAATCAGGCTTCACGTATATAATGAACTCGAGGCGAAATGATCGCCATCTAGAGGCAAAAATTTAAGGTGATGTGGAATGAACAAAATATTTCATTGATATTACATATTTCGTTGCTCTATTCAAGCAAATGATCCGTTCGAAACGAGTTCATTAATACATCGGAATAAGACAACTTGTTTGTTGTTTCAAAGATATACTCTCATCAAAATGATCATTGTTTGATCAAATCAACGAAATGTTTATAGTTGAATCAACATCGACATTATATTGGATCGTCATAATTTGTTTTTGAAGAAACCATATATTTTGTTGATGGAATTGATATACTGTTGATTCAATTAGACTACATTCTTGATTTGAACAAGCTGCTTCCATGGAATAATCATGTATCTGGTTGATTCAACAAAAAAATTGGTCAGTCCAACAAAAATAACTCAAGCATACATAATTTGTTGATGCAACAAATCCTTTTTTTCCGTGTACTTCTAGTAGGTATACGCCTGATGTCACTCCAGTTTCTGTCGTGTCAAGTTCGATTGTTCGGTATTGTTCACGCGTAAATTAGCAAGAACAGCCGTTTAAGGAGAATATTGTCTGAAGAAACCACAAAATATATAAAAATTTCAATTCCGCATACTACACGAAACATGAGATCATCAATGAAGGTAATCATTATTATTGTTTATTTGTATTTTGTCGTTAATTTATCTTGCCACTCAAACGTTTTTTCAATTGAATAAATTTCCTTAAACTAACTCATAGATTTTCCATCAATAATTTCTCTCGAAAAACTGATATGAGACAGAATTGCTCGACCTATATGCGGTCTCGCAATTTTTTCATGTCAGCCTTTCTCGTAAAATTACTGAATGGCAACTGTTTTTCGTTGGTAAGTTGAATTTATACGATGAAAAAAAAACTCTTGTTTTTTAACTATTAATATAATCTCCAGATAAGTATAGGTACGAGATATTCCAATAATATACATATACATCAAAGATATTTCATACGTGAACCCTCGCGTGAACCATAGTTTGCTAGTAGTGACTTGCTCTATAGTTCTGTTACTGAATATTTCCCTCATAATATCGGTAATTGCACTGCAGACCGAAGATTGTACTGTGAAGAGAACCCGTAGCCATAACAACACATTTATAAAGCCATGTCGCTAGACGCCAGTAAGCAATACAAATAAATGTCAGATGAACTACAAAAAAAGTATAAATGAAAGTCTCGAGCAAAAAGTGAACCAAAAAATACCAAATCCTTCAGACAGAATTCCTTACTTCGTGAAATATTTCAAGGAATTACATTCGTGCATAAAAATGGCCAGATAATTTTGCATTCAAGCGTGTTATCTTATACAAATTGCATTTTTTTACATATTTTGTAAGAGAGCCCTCCTCTCGGCCCTCCTCCTTCGGACTAGGGCTCCTTCGCCAAAATATGAAAATAAACTTACAATTTTTAGATAACAGACTTTCTTGCAAAATTTCTGGTGATTTTTATGCACTCGTACTATCATAGCCGAAAATCAACAGTTATTATACACAAGTGGTGGTAATTTTATGATAATTTCAACTTGATTTTTGTAGACTATAGAAATGAACATTTTACAGCTACACACTTATTCGGTTTTGCGACCTTTGCGTTCGAACCAGGGCCTACTCTATCTCACCTAGAGTAGGCCCTGGTTCGAACAGACTTGTTCGTCGAACAAAACAGCCTAACAACCGTGGGCCCCTCTATGTATCCATTCAAACAAAGATCCAAAGGTGAGAAAGTTATCGGTTATAATTAATTGCACGAATGCATAAAAATAACCGATAATTTTGCATTTTTATCTGAAAATTGCAAGTTAATTTTCATATTTTGGCGAAAGAGCCCGAGTCCGAAGGACCAAACAAAGTTCCTATTCTATATCACATCTCTCTTTTTTTAACTGACTGTTGAAATATAAAGTAAGTAGGAATACAGTTGTTCCGTTCGATTTTGAATAAATAATTTGAGATATTCTATGTCAGATCTTTAGTTCATTTTATACTCTTCATTATTGATGGAAACCATTTCTTATAATGGTTCATTTACTATTATGCATGGTTTCAAACTCAGGTTAAAACTACCTAAGAGTTCTTTTTCTTTTTTTTTTAGGATTGACTCGGTCGTTACTTGTTGGAAATCCATGGCAAATGTAAAAACTTCACAAACGATAAGATTTCCACAAAATTCTTAAACACATACAGTTGCTTCGTCAGGTGATATTCTAGTCTTTTACAATGAACTAAACCAACCTTGTACTTGCTTAACTTTTATATATCCTACTTTTCCAACTTGAAGGATTAGTTCATTTTCGGAAATTAGGCACAATATCTACATTGAAATACGGTGCGCCGGATTAACTTGAAAGGGTTGATAGCAAATACATTTTATTATCTATACTAAGAACACAATTTCACAGTTTATTCGATTTAACCCCTGCCCGCTTTTTTTCCCATCAGTAGAGTACCTGTAACTCGACCTGTAATATTCTTTGTTTGAATTACAAATCATTTTGGGATCAGCCGAGGGAAAACCTTATGATATTGATCGTCACATCAAGAGAATAAATAATAAATACCTGTCATAGTGGTAAACCTCGTGGTAAACCTTTGAGACATAAAACCAGTAATTTAATTATCTAATAATGGGTGTTTTCGTCTTAGAGATCGCCGGAGAGTTAACTTTTCGACAAAAAGCAGTCGCCTTTGTTTCAGCCCTGACGCCAGCAGTGGAGACCATAGACAGACGGGAGGCGGGGTCCTATCCATTACAATGTCGCCACACTCGAACAAGAGTACCATTTAGTAATACTAATTAATAGAAAACAAAAACACGAGAGATCGCAATCGCTGGTTACTGACCACAGGGCTGCGGTCTTTGATTTCGTCGAAAATACCGACAGACTGTCGGTTACTTAGTCATATCCTACAATTATTTTTTGGTTCGGTACCGGGATCGATGGTTATCTCAACAAATGGAAGATTTTTGAAGGTAACCTGACATTATGGGTTCGGTTTTGTACCCAGAAGAAATATGAGCAGTTGTATATACTTATAATAACTGTTCTCTGTCGATATCGAATAGGTTCTGGGTGTTTTGAAGGATGTTTCATTGCTAATTGAAAATTATCGATCCAAAGATAACGGTGTTTAAATGCTATTGCAAAACCATACTCCCATTATTGATTGATCACGTTCTTACCCCCATGTTATGTGTTTTATCTTTACAAGTTTCTAAAAGTTTTGCTTGTTTTAACTTCTGGATTTTATCTAAAAATACGTCTCCGAAGTTTGTGATTGTTTAACTCTTGAGTTAATTCACTTATTTTCATATCTATTCATTTTGGTCATTTTGGTTGTAAATATTTTACACTTGAATTTTTGTACGTAGATTTATATTCTGAAATTATTAAACTCAGCATGGTCAGTAATTTTATTTATATACATATATTATACGTCTCCGAAGTTTTTGTGATTGTTCAACACCGGAATTGTTTCATATCTTTTTTTTAATATTTATCCATTTTGATTATTTTGTATATAAATATTTTACACACTTGAATTTTTGTACCTTCTTAGTTTTATATTCCAAAATTATTAATCCAAACGAAATTCATACTTTTTCACCACGTACAAGCAGCATTTGCTGCTTCTGTGCGGGTTTTATAATGTTTATTTACCTAATGTAATCTTGCTATCATTATTTCTTCCATTGTATTCTGATTCTGTCGAAATAAACATATTATTATATTATTATAAAGAATCCTGAGCCTGATGAGCACAAAATATAAAAATTCAACCCGATTTAAACCAAATCACCCTGATTAAATATGTCTGAATTGGAGACGCCCATGTTCTTTACTCACAATTCATACTTTGGTATTTCATTCATCATCTCGACTTTCTAAAACTCAAATTTGTTGATACCAGTAATACTATTTTCATTTTTATTACTGACCCTAACAAAAGGCAGTCGCATTTGAAGAATGAATCACAAAATTCTAAACGGCCTTCATCGAGGCCTTCTTTGACCAATTTGAACAAATTATTTATTGCTTGTGATGCCATACCGACTAAATAACTTGAAGAGATTATCCGACTAAAATTAATTCGAGAAAACGTTGGCCAGAAATAATTAATTTCTATAATTATTCAAATTACCTCGACATCATTCCGAGTTTAATCTGGTCATCATTTGCATTATTTTCATTAGTGTTTAGGTAATCACAAAAACAGGAAACAGTTTCTTGATAAACAAGTGTCCCCATAATCCCGAGTATAATAATTACAGAAATTACAATTGCATGTAGTGAATTATCGTATATACTTCTGTATGAAACGATGAAAGGAACATTTTATATGCGCATATGATTATTATCCACCTCTGAATTAATTTGCATTCCATGATATCCATAGAAATATTTTTATTTTTGACAGAACATCATTATCCGCATAATTGTTCGACAAAACATTAAATAAAGAAGCAGCAGATTATTGCAAAATAGTTGAAAATGGCAAAAAACCGAGACAAAAACTGAACTGGTACAAAATGAATGTACACATCGACGCACACCGTGAATCGAGGTTCGACCAGAATATCCACGTTTCAATCCTTTGAACTTTAAACAATATGAATATAAATAAATCGATAAAACGAACAAGATTATATATTATACCACTCATTTTTCTACTTTGTTTCGATGAAACATTCGCGTCAGCCGCTTTTTTCTTCATTATCCTGTCCACTTTTTTCGACATGGACTCGATGGTGGGAGAACCTTCGTTCGAACTTTCCTTGGAAGACAACCTGATACTTTTTCGAGACTTGACAGTCTGATGGTTTGGTGGCGAATCGAACGATGACACGTCTTATTGTAGCTCTGACATATCAGATATATTATGCAGAATGGTATGAAGGATAGTCTCAGTGGAAGAATTCATTTCTTCAGAAAGTTTGCTACCATTTCTTGTAATGCTTTCAACTCTAGTGAGCCTTTCGATCTTCTCTTGATTGTTCAGAGCAGTACTCTTATCTTCAACTCCATTTCTATGTCCTGAGATTTCACATTGTTGATTCTATCATTCGCATTCGAGGTTCTCTTCGAAGAAAGCAACTCAGTTAGTAAGAGTATACCGATGAATAATTTAAATTGATTTATTCTTATTTTTTACGAATATGGTCGAAACAGGTCTGAAACCCTTATGGTCACCACGAAGGACCATTCCCTTCATGGTAGTGTAAGAGTCCTTATATATTATGTAGGTGTACCCGCTGAACACTCTCAGAGACTATTTTTCCGAGGCCCGATCTCTTCCATGCAGGAGGCCAGAAGTTTTTCTTCTCCTAAAAGTAATGGGGGAAGGGGTTGGTCCAGCCCTGTGGTGCTGCTGCACAGGCCAATATCCCGTTATCGATACCATATAACCTCAAGGTCATTCCTCCCTCGTCACGGATATACCCCTCGGTATACCCACAACTTGAATTAGGTTGCCTGAGCCTCATTCATCAATTCACGGCCACATGAGAAATGTTCTCAAATTGACCCATCCTTGGACACAGATGTCAACAAAACTATCCCATCTGAGTGATCCGAACGAAGATGTCCACAAAATGTTTCATTGTCTTTTTCAAACCATGGTGAAGTTGGGCTTTAAGGAAGAAGGGAATGGAAGGAATGATAGAAGATTTGGCCAGGAGCGGCCGAAATGAGAGATTGGGACAGTGAAGAGGAAATCATCCAAAACATGTTGAAGAATGATGAGTTTTCAATAGGGTACCCTGGGTTCCCAATTCCTGTACTCACGAGTTATGAGCACCCCACTGGCCGCTAGTACCTTCGCCGCCATAAACCCCCTCTACCATCGCTGCCACCACATTAAAATATTCGATGAATCTCCTCATCAGACCTCCTAGTAGTCCGGATCTCTACATATAAGATCAACAAAACTCACTCCGGCTCTGATTGGAGACTACGTCAGACAAATTGGGAGTGGCTGATTCCTACATAGTTGCCAGATGAAATTATGGAGAATCAACACTTTTGTGATAAATCACAGATCTTCTGTCAACTAATCATCTGCTTGTGGCTCCGACGGAATCCCACCGAATGTCCTCAAGAAATGTGCTCCCGAACTAACACATGTTCTGTGCAAGTTGAAAATTGCAAGAGTACAACCAGTTCCTAGAAAAGGCAAAAAGACCCTACCTAGCAACTACAGACCGATCCTCGGACCGATCGCACTGCTATCTATCTCATGGAATACCTGGATCATTCAGGTATTATCAACGATAGGCAATATGGCTTTCGTCATCAGAGAACAACTGGTGACCTGCTCACTTACGTCTCACATATATGGCAGCAATCTATTGAAAAATATGGTGAAACCTTAGCCGTGGCACTTGATATCTCCAAGGCATTCGATCGAGTCTGGCCAAGCTTTCATCTTATGGCTTGCCTCTGCCAGGGCTTCAATACCAGCCAGGCAAATCAGAAACGAACGAGGGAGGAATGTTGACAACATAAATATGGACTTGGCAACAATTCTCGAATGGGGATCCAATAACATGATAGATTTCAATGCAAACAAAACACAAGCATGCCTTTTCTCTAGAAAAGCCGATCTCACTTTGCCCAACATAAGCCTGTCAGACATCCATTTTGATGCTTGGTATTACTATCAGCAATAACCTTTCTTGGGAAAATCACGTGAGATCAATTACTAAAAGTGCATCCCAAAAACTTGGTTTTCTGTTTCGGGCCAGGAGCTATTTCACTTCCAGTCAGCTGCTTATGATCTATAAGACACAGATCCGACCTGTCCTGGAATGCAGTTTCCATATTTGGAGTGCAGCACCCAAACATACCCTCATCAACTGTTGGGTGATGCCTCGCTCACAAACTCACTCACTTCACTGAAACACCGTAGAAAAGTTGGCGATCTGGCTCTATTTTATAGATATTTTCATGGATGCTCTTCTGAAATATCAACAATTGTTCCTCCCTTGGCAGTGTCCGCGAGATTAGCCCTTCGAGTTGAGGCTTCGCACCCCTTCGTGGTCTTTCCAAAGACTCGTTCATCCAACGAACAGCGAGACTCTGGGACATATCGCCAAGGGAGGTGTTCCTCGAGGCATATAACCTGCAGAAATTCAAGAAGAACACCAATTCCTACCTTATTTTTCTTGGTTCTCACGATGTTCTCTGAACATTACAGGGTATCCCTTTTCTTGGGAACCAGAACTAAAAAAAAATGAGGTACTCGTTTTATGTGTCATGGAAATATACTCGAAAATATGATTCTGCATATCAGATTCGCGTACAAAAATATATAACTGGCAATGTTGCTGACTATGTGCGCATGATCAAATGTATTCGAAGAACACACGAGGATTTTAGGTATTTCTCAGACTTGTATTGGCCTTCTACCTCTTTGAGTTCTGAGACCACAGCATCTCACGCAAGAAATTGAAATTATTCATTCACTTACATCTCGTACCGACTTATAGTTGTACGAATTAATCGTACGCCGGTCTCTTGTCCTAATATATTTATTTTCGATTCTAGAAGATCTGACAGCTAGCCGCCGCCAGCACTACCCCCTCCCCGCACGACCAGTGGGCGTGTCGTTCTTGCGAGGCACCCGTGCGCGCTCCGCACGGCGCACCCCCCCTCCAAGCTGGCCGCCAGCGCCCTCGCCGCCATGAACCCGCACTACCATCCGTACGGGGGCGGGCCGGAGCTGACGTCACCGCACCCGCCGTCCCCCGACAGCGGCTACCACGGCCACCAGGGGGCGCCGATGTCGAATCACGGGAGGATGCATCCCGCCAACGGACACCCCATCGGCACCATAGGTCAGAATACTTATAACTTTTACTCCATTAATATATCATCTTCCTACGTCTGTTAAAACACTGCACACTGAGAAGTCAAGTAAATCGTTTTCATGAAAAAGAGTCGATTGTGACAAGAACATTTCCACCAACGATAGGAAAATTAGTTACTTGAGTCTCGATCGAGGGGTTGGTGGTTGGTCAATCCTAAATAATGTGTACACCATTGCTCCATTGCCGAAAAATTTCCATCAACTGCCGACCACTGCCTAGCATTGCCGACCACTGCCTGGCATCACTGCCTAGCATTGCCGACAACTGCCTAGCATTGCCGACCACTGCCTAAACAGGGTTGGCACGAATTAATTCATAGGAATTAAATCAGTGATTTAATTCGTGAATTAATTCAAATGACTTTTTTCAATTAAGTCGTGAATTGATTCAAAATGTATCAAATGGGAGCAAATCGCATTATTACCTTCAATTCAAACTAGTTTAAAATGAAATTTTCCGATGGCATCTGACAACTGACAACCGTGAAGCACCACACGCGGAAAACAACATTTTCTAAGAGCCGCTTTACAGTTTACAATATTTCATTGCATGCAATTTATTGCTCCAATTCATATTTCCGGCTTCCGGCAAAAATAATTTGTAGGCTTTCCAACGCTGAATCGGAATTACCGGCTTGCAATGTATTTTTGTCGTAGATTCTGTGTATTACTTCTCACCGAGTTTTGAGTTGGGTAGAAGAAACTATATGAGAAAGGCAAGAAAAGTATGATCCAATGTGTATCTAATGATGCGTGAAATTCCGAAAATCTAACATGCCACCACTAGAATTGCACCAGTAATACAAATTACCACAATATAAATAAATATGTCCGGACTCATTTCTTGCAATGCATCGAAAAATTGCTTTTCAAGGTGACACCAATCCGTAGGCGCGCCATGGATATTGCTGCCTTTTTGTTGAAAATAACTGTAAAGCGCCTCTATGATGGAGATTGTGAATGAGTAATATAATTTGCATAAACATAATTTTTCATTCAATCAATAGTCTCAGTTTATATTGCAAAAATTGCATATTTTAAGTATTTTATTGTTACGCTTTGAGATTTTTAACGGAAATTTAAACTTAGTTTTTTCGATGTTCCTATATTTTGTTCAAGTAAATAGAATTTGATTTGTTCTCAAATGAATTTGTTAGCATCTAGCAACTAGATGCGCCACTGCTCAGTGGAATGTGCTTAGATCAGAGCCTATATGACAATATGACAGACGTGTGTGAAGACTGGTTCATAAAGTATTCGGCTGGCTGCCGAGTTGTGAACAAGTGTAACCCTTGTCCATGTCATTTGTGCTCGTGTTTATCATTTTGTGACCATAATATAACAGAATTAATTCAAAAAAGTCCGAATCAATTCAAAAAGTCAGACTTTTTTGACTTTTTTATAAAACTCATGACTTATTCCAACCCTGTGCCTAAATAATTGCCGTCCACCACCGAGCATGCTTCCACTGCCTAAAGCATTGCGCTCCCTGCCACTCATTTCTTATTCTATTCAAAGTCGATATGTATGGGTTTTTGGGATCGGAGATTATAATTTTAGTGGGAGAATGTGAAATTTCATCAATTTAAGATAGCGGCTCCAGGAAGGCGGACGAGTTAATCTTCAGATGACCATTCTCACCGAAGTGCTAGATAGCTCAAAACTCACTGGAAAAAGGCATTATAATTACGATGCTTCATCAGAAATGCATATGTGAGTTGATGCATTCTAACTGAAATGCACAAAATGAAATAATTATTGAAACACTTTCTAAAGACAACCTTTTATTCAAATGCGCTGAAGAGTAAAAAATAATTTCTTTGGATGTGTGACGAAGGTTATTTTGTTATTTTGGGAGTTATAAAGAATCAAAAGTTTGCCGCTTTCGTATTTGAACAGAATAACCTACGTCACACATCCAAAGAACATTTCTTCCACTCTTAAATACGAGGTAGATGCCAATCATAAAAATGTAATGTTCAATTAGAACCAATTACAAGTTCTCTGCAATACTGATTTTGAGTCGAAATTTAAAAGACTTCGAAGATGACGGAAACCGAACGAAAACAAAAGTAAGATGGTAAACCTGGGGGTGACGTGGACATTCCCTCCATACCGCCTTCCCTTCCAGGGCTCCAATACTAGCCAGGCAAATCAGAAACGAACGACGGAAAAATGTTGACAACATAAATATGGACTTGCATTTCAATGCAAACAAAACACAAGCATGCCTTTTCTCTAGAAGAGCCGATCTCACTGTGCCAAACATAAGCATGTCAGGACTAACCATACCTTTAAAGATATCCATTTCGACGCTTGGTATTACTATCAGCAATAACATTTCTTGGGAAAATCACGTAAGATCAATTGCGAAAAGTGCATCCCAGAAACTTAGTTTTCTGTTTCGGGCCAGGTGCTCTTTCACTTCCAGTCAGTTGCTTATGACCTATAAGGCACAGATCCGACCTGTCCTGGAACACTGTTCCCATATTTGGAGTACAGCACCCAAACAACCCTGAAACTGTTGGATTCTGTCCAAAATAGGGCAATTCGTCTCGTGGGTGATGCCTCGCTCACAAACTCACTCACCGTAGAAAAGTTGGCGATCTGGCTCCATTTTATGAATATTTTAATCGAGATTTTAATGCAAGATGCTCTTCTGAAATATCAACAATTGTACCTCCCTTGGCAGTCCCCGCGAAATCAACCCGTCGAGTTAAGGCTTCGCACCCCTTCGTGGTCACTTTGGAGACCTGCAGAACATCTCTTTCCAAAGACTAGTTCATCCAACGAACAGCGAGGCTCTGGAACACATTGCCAAGGGAGGTGTTCCGCGAGGCATATAACCTCCAAAAATTCGAGAAGAACACCAATTCCTACCTCATTTCGCTTGGTCCTCACGATGTTCTCTGAACATTACAGGATATCGCTTTTCGTGGGAACCAAAACATTAAAAAAAAAACTATTTTCACCACTAATCTGAAGAATCGCCATCATTGTTGAGAAATATCCTCCAATGAGAAGTTACTACTTAAATGTACAGTAAGAACAAGGCTTTGTGTACTTTTCAATGTTAATTCTCATACTCGTTCCCATAGGAGAATTTCATGTCAAAAATAGCAATACTGACTCTTCCTTCAATCCGAATACGATCGAAGCCTCGATCAAAGCTTTTAGAATCTGGTCATATTCGAACAGGAATCTGATCAGCTCTGATCAGTTTTGAACAGATATTCAATCAGCTATCATAGCTGTTTATAGCTATTCGTATACGATTTAGAATATGTTATTTGACTTGTAGATGCATTGCATTTACTGTGAATATGTGAATCAAGGGAAATTTACTACTATATTATCACTATACATACGTGTATGAGGTATTTTTTGTCCTCTCATAGTCTATAATTTCTCACATATCGATTCAACATGAGGAAGGAAGTCAACAATTACCTACCTATACTTCGTTTTCAATCAATGTCTTATCAAAGATTACATTATAATTACTGTTCACTCGAAAACAGGGTAACTACCTACCTACTCCATCTTGAAACAACATGAATCCGAAACTACTTCAATTATTAGCTCATCACGAATCAATCATCATCAATAAATAATTAATTGATTGAGATATCGAATTCATGGAATGCTATATCCGAGACTATATCATTATGTGAATAATGAGGTTATGACGTGAATATTCACGAGTGCATAATATTTTCATAAATTGTCTAGCTATTTGTTGGTAAATCTTCTCAGACTTATTTAAAATATTGGAATTCAATCTTTCAATGATATACATTTTATCTTCCGATAAACTCATAAATCAAGTCCAAGATTGTGCCATTAATTGGTACAAAATATTTCGCATAAGTAACTACTGCTAATTACTGCAATTTATTTTAATGATCCTTTGAGATTCTACTTGCAATGAGCTTGTGAAAAAAAAACACAAGATATATGCCTATAACATTCTCAGTATTATAACAAACCTCAAACCATAAAATCCTCGATAAAATTCTAAAACGAGTCTAAAAATGGAATCCAATTGAATTATTTTATCCATGAAAGTGACTCAGGAAATAGGCAGGCTATATAATGTTTGCCAAATATAATTGAAATTATATTTCAAATGTATTAATATATTTCGGTATAAATGTATAAATAGTCGAATTCATTTTGAACATCATCGACTATAATTATTCTGAATATCATTAATTGAGAGATTATTATAATTGAATACATGAGTTAGTGAAATTTTTCTACGTGGGCCTATAGAAAATTAGTTACAACGTTGATCAATTAACAATAATTTCAAAGCTGTTGCTTTCTAAAAAGGACTGTTCGCCTGGTATGTAATATTTGATGAAAACATAGTTTTTATGGATAGAAAGTTTTTGGATGTATGATAAATTGATATCCGAGTTGATATCCATCATACAGGACATGGAAAAAAATTCTCCTATACATTTCAATTTTCATTTCAATACTGAACATATTGGTAAGTTATATTGTTATATCATAATACATCATATTATTCTATTCGATTTGAGAGATAATGTCAGCTCTCAATTTCAGAGGATTTTGATTTTTCATGCTCTCTTTTTGGATATTCAATAGATAAAATTCAATGTTCGACGTGGCAAATAGCCAGGAAAGTAGTTGTTTTCTGTTGAATATTCAGAACGATATTATGTGCATATCTTTATATGAAGAAGAATGAAACTTATTTGCCAGGTTTCGCGGGCGTAAAGTACTTCTCTATTCTCAAATTTCTTATATTCACATACCAATTCTCGAAATTACTATGTTCGCACTCTGAGCTGATTTTATGATTTCCAAACTATGTTCTTTCATTCCATTCCATGAATCTTATCACTCATCACTCTATAGTAACGCACTTCTTTGAATAATTGCTTTCTTGCTGTCTGAAGTTTTCACCTACAGGATGACAATTTAACTTGATATACAGATGTATTGCTAGACAATTGCCATATCAGCTATGTACTGGGTATGCAATTTGTAACATTTCAAGAAATGAATCTCTTATGGTCAACAAAGAGTTTTACTATTACGATGATTGCGTTATTCGCACGATAATTTTAATAATAATGAAAAACTGTTTTTTTTTTTTAATTTATCACCCTATATCTCAAAAGTTGAGACTTTTAGGACAAACGTAAGAGGGAAGTTTTTTTATTGAAATGTGCTGAAGAATCACCCCCTTGAATACTAGCATATCTTTAAGGAACACCCTGTATTGAAATAGTCTCGGAAATAGTATTCATATTTTCATTTCATAGAGACGAGTAAAGAAAATCCCAAAAAAATCTGGAATAATGAATTAACCACCTCCTCGATTAACCTATTTCCAAATTGCAGGCCATCCCAACGGCCCCCACGACCAGATGTCGCAGCACAACCACCACCAGCACCCGGCGTTCGCGGGGGGTGCGCCCCCGCCCTCGGCCAGCCCCCACCATCCCCACCACCCCCAGTCAATCACGAACAACAACAACAACAATAACAACAACGTGAAAGTATGCGCGGGGTGCAACGGCAAAATCGTCGAACGGTTCTTGTTGCACGCGCTGGACCGGTATTGGCACAACGGTTGCCTCAAGTGTTCGTGTTGTGCGGCGATGTTGGCCGATCTGGGCACCTCGTGTTTCACCAAAGGGGGGATGATTTTGTGCAAGCAGGACTACATGAGGTAAGTTCTCTATGCGCATTGTTGTGGTTCCATAGAAAACCCCCCGCAAATAGAATGACATCGCCGTGGCACTTGATATCTCCAAAGCATTCGATCGAGTCTGGCACCACGGACTCCTCGCCAAGTTTCCATCTTATGACTTGCCTTCCCAGCTATGTTCTCTACTAGTTAGTTTTCTCTCAAACAGGTCTCTCCATGAAGTGGTCGACGGAGTTTCATCTGACTCTCTTACTATAAATGCTGGTGTTCCGCAAGGATAAATTCTAGCACCAACACTATTTCTACTCCACATCAACGATTTGTTGGAAGCAACTTCATGTCCAGTATACAGCTTCGCGGATGATAGTACCCTCCTCGCTACCCTCCATACTGCCTTTCTTCCAGGGCTTCAATACCAGCCAGGCAAATCAGAAACGAACAAGGGTTGACAACATGAATATGGACTTGGCAACAATTCTCGAATGGGGATCCAATAACTTGGTAGATTTCAATGCAAACAAAACACAAGCATGCCTTTTCTCTAGAAAAACCGATCTCACTGTGCCCAACATAAGCTTGAGAGGAGTAACCATACCTTTGAAGACACCCATTTCGATGCTTGGTATTACTATCAGCAATAACCTTTCTTGGGAGAATCACGTGAGATCAATTGCTAAAAGTGCACCCCAAAAACTTGGATTTCTGCTCGGATTTCTGTTTCGGGCCAGGAGCTATTTCACTTCCATTCAGCTGCTTATGATCTATGAGACACAGATCCAACCTGTCCTGGAATACTGTTTCCATATTTGGATTGCAGCATCCAAACATACCCTGAAACTGTTGGATTCTGTCCAAATAGGGCAATTCGTCTAGTGGGTGTTGCCTCGCTCACAAACTCACTCACTTCTCTGGAACGTCGTAGGAAAGTTGGCGTTCTGGCTCTATTTTATAAATATTTTCATGGACGATGCTCTTCTGAAATATCAACAATTGTTCCTCCCTTGGCAGTCCCCGCGAGATCAACCCGTCGAGTTGAGGCTTCGCACCCCTTCGTGGTCGCTTTGGAAACCTGCAGAACATCCAACGAACAGCGAGGCTCTGGAACACATTGCCAAGGAAGGTGTTCCCCGAGGCATGATACCTCCAGGAATTTAAGAAGAACACTAATTCTTACCTTATTCCCCTTGGTTCTCACGATGTTCTTTGAACATTACAGGATATTTCTTTTCACGGGAACCAGAACATAAAAAAAACAGTTTGTGCGAGAATTTCTGTTTAATGTTCAATTCACGAATTCAATATTGTGAAGTTTCGGAGCATCGGCTGGGAATAGTTCTCAACGTGTTCCTGCACGATTCGCTGTTGTGTTCCGATCGACAGTGCTGCTTCTGAAGTTGTGAGCATCAGAGGAGAAGTAGGACGACGTTAAAAAAACTACCAGCTACTACCGAAAAACTTTGAAAGAGAGCTGATGAACTGACTGTACCTGAAAAAGGTGCTGACGTGTAAACGTTCCCTATTTTTTCTAGTACCAGTAACTACCCAGTAAACACATACAGTCAAACGGGGAGAATCGGGAGTTTTTTCAAGGAGTTCCTCGCAGTAACTCCTGACTGTGGAGAAAAGTAATCAGAATTTGGCTATATTTATCCACTTGGTACACTTTACTGAGTCGTGAAAGAAGCACTATTGAACGTTGAAGCAGAACGTTGATACTTGCAAGCAACACGTCATTCTATTTTAATGTAACGACATTATCACAATGCACGGTAGAATAATTGCCAGAAATAACCTGTTTATAGCGTTAGAAAAATAATAGATTGAAACAACAAATTATTGTTTGTGTCAACATTACTCATCACTCATTCAACAGCGCCTATTTAATTATGTGAAAAATAATTAGATGATATCAAATAAGTAGTTGAAAAATTTTTCTTGAACTGGTTAAATACATGTATGTCAGCGACATTTTTGCGTTATTTCAACCAACCCGTTGTATTGATTTCACTACGTTATTTTGACGTAAGTGTGTTTACTGGGTAGGGTAGTAACGTCCAAAACAACGCCACCAGTACTACCATGCGTTTCAAAAGCCGGACTTATCCGACCATTGGCAGGCTTTGCGGCAATTTTAAAATGTACTGGTTATTGATTTTGTATCATTTCTGGATAAATACATAGTACAGAATCAATGAATTTCAGGAATGATATTTTATGTTACTGTATCACAATAAAGGGAGAAGGAGTACGTATAATAAAACTTCATCGACATGTTACTTTGTATTCTTCCTGAAATGAACTCATTGTGATAGGAAAGAAAATAAACATGAATCCAGTAACTTCTTTAAATTCTCACAATCACCTGGAATCTGTGAAGTCCAAACAACATTCATCAAAGCAATTTCACCGATCTTCAAATTTCAATAGGTACTTGGAGTCCACATGAATGTCACTACATAAGACTAATAAAAGGAATTGTATTTTATCATATATAACTTTCCTTTGAGATTTTATTGAATATTGATGATTCATTTCTGAAACTGATCCTACCATTTTATGGAAAAATAAAAAAATAGGAACTGTACTCATCACATGAAAAATGTGAAAAATGAGAAAATCAGACATAATACATCAGTGACAACTGACTTAAAATCTTGACATCATCCGACATTATAACTACCATCTGTCGGATTGGAAGCTTCACTAATTCAGTCGGCCATGACAGTTTCGATACGGGACATGAAAGATTTCATTCTATTTGTGAGGGTTTTCTATGTGCGGTTTCTAGGATATTGGTATTCAACCTCTATGGGCACGTGTACGTTGATTCAACGTTTATTGAACATATTAACGATTTCATTTCGCTGAAGTTTTTTCCAATCTGATTTCAAATTCAATTAGATCAAAATTAGGTATATCCGAGGGTATATCTATCATCTGACGACAGTTCACCCAACCTCCATATAGAAGAGTTCTGGCATCAGGTGGCCTAGGTTTCGCATCTGGACATCTGCTTGGTGATCTGTGGTATGGCTTGCAGAATATGTACTCAATAATGAATGTGTGCCAAGCAAATGAAAGTTGCAGTTAACTGACTATCAGTAGGTATATATTCACGGAATCCCCAGCGCCCTTTAGAAATAACAGATATAAGTGCAGGCAGTCATATCGTTCATCAATGGAAGACGTTATCTGCAAAACCGAATTACTAGGCTACATTATGCTTCAATAACTGACCGTATATGGTTTATTGTCACGCTCTTCCTATCGTACCAGGACTTCTTTGGTTGTTCGTACTATACGAATTATTTCTGTTTAAGAAATCATTCTCAAGATACGTTAACGTCAGGATTTAACGACAGAACCAGATGAAACTGCAGCAGCAGAAGCACCTTTTAGTACAGTCATTCGATCGAGCATTTGACATTATTGTGACCCCCGTGGACCCCTCATATACAGGGTGTTTCATAGGTAAAGGGAAATATTTCAATGGTAGATAGGGGTCACCAAGGTGGTTCTGAAAATACCATATTTGATAGGTCTAAGAGTCTTCATAACGGAGATACAGGGCGATTTATCGATTTCGAATAAATATTCATTCGTCTATAAGTATAGAACTACCCAGTATATTTTTCTAAAATTTGGTATGGAGCTTATACTTGGGACGTTGAATTCATTCACCTATCGGGTGAAGTGAAAATCCAGGTTCGGCTTCAGGAAAAATTTACATTTATTCGAAATATTAAAATAACACACTGTATGTAATAATTGACAGAGTTCATCGAAGGAATCGTGGAGAGGAGGAAAAACTGAAATGGATTTGATGCTTTTTGTTTTCCCGCCACCAATTCTCATCGTAACAATCATAAACAGAAAGCTAAAAGTATGTCAATTTGAAGAGTATTGAAATTATGAAACCACTTTCAATTATGATTATTTGATATATTCTTGTTGAATGATCGTTCGAAAGAACTTACTCAGTCTCACAGTCTTTATAACAGAGATACAGGGTGAATTGTCGGTTTCGAATAATTATTCACTCGTCCATATAAGTATTAGACTACCCATCGCAGTAATATTTTCTCAAATTTGGTATTGAGCTTACTTGGGACGATGGATTCATTGACCTATCAGGCAGAATGGCAATACAGGTTCAGCTTCAGGAAAAGTCTCATAGTGTTTATAACAGAGATACAGGGTGAATTATCGAATTATAATTATTTGGTAATATTTCCATTCCGCCTAATAGGTTAATGAATCCATCGTCCCAAGTGAGCTACATACCTACCAAATTTGAGAAAATGTTACTGGGTAGTTTAAGACTTATGAAGACTGTGAGACATAGTGAGTTCTTTCGAGCGATTTTTTGACTGAAATATCAAATAATCATAATTGACACTGGTTTCATAATTCCAATACTCTTCAAATTGAAATATTTTCAACTTCCTGTTTATGATTGTTACGATGAGAATTGGTGGCGGGAAAACAAAAAGCATCATACACAATTCAGTTTTTCCTCCTCTTCACTATTCGTTTGATGTACCTACTGTGTTAATTATTGAATACAGTGTGTTATTTTAATATTTCGAATAAATGTAAATTTTTCCTGAAGCCAAACCTGGGTTTTCACTCCGACCGATAGATGAATGGATTTAACGTCCCAAGTATAAGCTCCTCACCAAATTTGAGAAAAATATACTGGGTAGGTCAATACATATAGACGAATGAATAATTATTCGAGATCGATAAATCGCCCTGTATCTCCGTTATGAAGACTCTAAGACCTATCAAATATGGTATTTTCAGAACCACCTTGGTGACCCCTATGTACCATT